TTCTCCAGGAGCCTGTGGAAGCTGCTGGCTCCTTCTTCCCTCTCATCTTCCCTTATATATCCTGGGCAACCAAAGCCAGGACTGAAGCAACACCCATGCTGAGCAGCAGCGCTGGCAACTGGGCTCCTCCGTGTCCTGCTTCAGTGCAGCAGCTCCTCAGCAGCTCAGGAGCAGGACAGATGTTCTCCACTGTGCTGCTGGGAGGGTTCAGGTGGCACCACAAAGATGGTAACGGGCCTTTTCTCACTGCTGTCCCCAGAGGCTCAGATCACCATGATGCAGCAGAGGATTGACCGCTTGGCTCTGCTCAACGAGAAGCAAGCGGCAGATCAGCTGGAGCCCAAGGAGATGGAGGAGCTGAGGGAGAAGAATGAGAGGTAATTCCTCCAGGAATGTCCCCTCCCTCCTGCTAGGCTGGTCCCTGTCACTGGCATGTCCCCAGGATCCGTGTTGTCTGTCTGTTCCCCAACAATGCACCAAACAGGGGTGAGGGAAAACCCTCTTGTTCTGTCCTGTCTCCTCTGCAGCTGCACCCCAGGGAGGAGGTGGCTTTGGCAGTCAGAGAATCCCAGACTGGTTTGGGTTGGGAGGGACCTTTTGGGTTGGAAGGGACCTTAAAGCTCCTTCAGTTCCAACCCCCCTGCCAGCAGCAGGGACACCTTCCACTAGACCAGGTTGCTCAAAGCCTCATCCAGCCTGGCCACAAACACTTCCAGGGAGGAGCATCCACAGCTTCTCTGCCCAACCTGGGACACTGGCTCACCACCCTCACACCAAACAATTTCTTCCTCACATCTCAGCTCCATCTCCCCTCTGACACTTTCAAGCCATCACCCCTTGTTCTGTCACTAGGATAAGATGAGACATCATCACACAGATCAGGTCACTCTGAGCCCCGTCCAACCTGACCTTGAATGTTTCCAGGGATGGGGCTTCTACCACCTCTCTGGGCAACCTGGGACTGTTTTGATCCAGTTTGATCAGATCTGAACTGGGCAACGAAGAGCAACGGAGCTGGGGAAGGGTCTGGAGCACAAGTGTGCTGAGTTCCCTTGTGGCTGAGGGAACTGGGGGTGTTGAGCCTGGAGAAAAGGAGGCTGAGGGGAGACCTTGTGGCTCTGTGCAAGTCCCTTGGAGGAGGGTGGAGAGAGGTGGGGGTGGGTCTGTCCAACCAAGGCCCAAGGGACAGGCCAAGAGGAAATGGGCTCCAGTTGTGGCCAGGGCAGTTGAGATGGGATGTGAGGAAGAATTTCTTTGCTGCAAGGGTTCTGAGGCATTGGAAGGGGTTGCCCAGGGCAGTGGTGGAGTCCCCATCCCTGGAGGGATTGAAGAGTCGTGTAGACACAGTGCTGAGGGACATGGGTTAGTCATAGGGGACTGGTCAGTGTTGGGTTCATGGTTGGACTCAATGAGCTTAAAGGGCTTTTCCAACCCAAACCACTCTGTGATTCCATGGGCTCCATCACTCACTTGAACTCTGTGTCCTGCCCTTTGCCCTGTCCCTGTGCAGTGAGCTGTGTACCTGGGACGGCCGCCCAGCCGCTGTGGCACTGCTCTGCCTTTGTTGTCCTCTCCTCACTTATTTCATCTTGCCAAGGGGTGGCTGGAGTCCTGCAGCCGCCTCTGCCCTCGGGTCGGGGCAGTTGGGCCCGTGCAAGTCACACTTATCTCTGCTTCACTTTGAGCTGTATCAGGACCCAGTTGAGAGCTGAGTTGATGGTGGTTTCTCACCGTGGCACAGACCTCAGTCCCTTGCTTTCCTCAGCAACATCCAGCAGCATCAATCCTCAGCCATGTCCTCTCCTGCCTTGGCCTTGCACCCTCTGATTTAACAACCTCCTCTCCCACAGCCTGACCATGCGCTTGCACGAGGCCCTCAGGCAGTGCCAGGACCTGAAGACTGAAAAAGGCCAGATGGACCGAAAAATCAACCAGCTCTCCGAGGAGAACGGGGACCTTTCCTTCAAGGTACAGAGTCTTGTGTCCTCTCCGCATCCCTGCAGCCCAGCAGCTTGTGGTAGGACAGGGGGAGAGGCTGCACAACAGCCACCTTGTGTGGGGAGCCTCTCCCTGCTCCCAGTGGGGAAGGATTTGGTGGCCATGCTGGGCTGCTTATGGTTCTACCACTGGCTTCATGTCACCAAACCTGCTTTGGGCTCCAGATCCTGATCCAAAGAGGAACTGTGGTGGGGGAAATAGGGGCTGAGGGGAGTTTCTTGCAGGCAGTGCTGCAGGAGCAGGGCCTGAGCAGGACTTGGGATGCCTGTGGATGCTGCAGAGCTTGGGAGAGGGGAGCTGAGTAGAGCCCTGGGCAGCGTGGGCGCTCGCTGAGCCTCCTCTGGGACGGTGGCTTTTTCCCCTGGCAGCTGCGGGAGATCGCCAGCCACTTGGTCCAGCTGCAGGAAGCTCTGAACGAGCTCTCAGAGGAGCACAACGCGGCCCTGGCACAGTCACAGGAGAAGCAGGGGCAGCTGGAGGGCGACCTGCGTGCTGCGCTGCAGGAGAAGGTGAGGGGGTCCCACCCGGGTGGTGGGTGGGTGCCCCCTGCTCTGCACCCGGCGGGGTGACGTGTGCTGGCGTGTGACAATCTCCTGGGGCTGGAGTGGGCAGGAGGCTCCTGCCTGTTGGTGCTGGCACAGGGGAAAGGCTGCACAACAGCCAGCTCATGTGGGGAGCCTCTCCCTGCTCCCAGGGAGGGTTCCCAGTGGTGGGACAGGCTGCTGTCCCCACAGTGAGAAGCCCTGAGCTGGAAAGCTGCTGGAAAGCTGCTCAGTGTTGGTTAAAGCTGGGTGGCTGCACCTCCCCTTGTTGGTTCCCTCACCTCACGCTCAGTCCCGGGTCTCTGTCCCCAGAAATGCTCAGAAGAGAAGATTGAGATTCTCCAGGGGAAGATTTCTCTGCTGGAGGATCAGCTGGCCAAGCTGGGGGACTGCAGCACCCAGGAGAAGGGAGAGGTCATGGGGGACATCCTGAAGGTATGGCTGGGTCTGGAGAGAGCCTCTGGTTCCCACAGCCAGGGCAGGAGAACTCCTCTGGCTGAGGAGAACGGCGGGTGCTGGGGGGCACAGCAAGGCCGTGTGGGGCAGAGCTGTCTGCTCTCTGCTCTGAGATGGGGGTCGTGGGGCTGAGCTCTCTGGGACCTCCCTTTTGTGCTGGATTTGGGAATTCTGCACCCAGGGCTGCTGCTCCCCCAGCTTCCCACAGCGTGGGTCGGCTGTGGAGGGTGAGAAAAGGTGTTTGGTCCCAGTGAGTGGAGCAGCACGAGGCTAAGGGGAAAGTGGGGTGCACTGGGGTGC